AAAAAGAAAGAAAAATACCTCTGAGACTGAGGTCAATTTAAGTTTTGTTTTTTAGTTTGGCTTAAACCGGAAAATGATCAAATGTATTTAGCGAAATGTTATTTTAAATGACCTTCTGTCCTTTTTTACGAAATGTAAACAATTTTATAACGGCTCTTTATTTTTTGATTAAGCGAAAAAAAAAGCGTTATTGATGACACATGTCTTCATTTCCAGGACCCCTCTGCTGGAGCAGAGGATGACCTGGACAACGACGGCTTGGATACCACGGACGGACCGGACCATCAACAGGAGGTATTTGTCTGTGAAGTAATGTCTTGGAATATTTTTGTTTTTTCATTAGCTCGAAATTATTTTTTTTAAAAGTCAAATGGGACTGAGTTCAATGTAAGTTTTTTTTTTAAATTCAGATGAAAATGGAAAATGATAAAATGTTTTTAGAGACAGATTTTTAAAAATGACCTTCTGTCCTTTTAAACCTACCATAAACAGTTTTACAACAGCTCTTTTTATTTGATGAAACAAAAAAAAAGCTTTATTGATGAAAGAGAATATTCTTCATTGACACATTTCTCCATCACCAGGACCCCTCCGCTGAAGCGGAGGATGGCCCGGACAACGGCGCCATGGATACCACGGCCGGACCATCAACAGGAGGTATTTGTCTTTGAAGTAATGTGTCTTGGAAGAGTATGTGTTTATTAGTTCAATGAAATTAGAATAATACCTGTCTATGGGACTGAGTTAAATGTAAAAGTTATATCTTTTTCATTCAGATAAAATGGGAAAATGATTAAACATATTCACTGACAGATTTTTATTAATAAACTTCTGTCTCTTTAAACCAACTATAAACAATTTTATAACAACTCTTTATCTGATGAAACAAAAAATACGCTTTATTTACCTCTGAGACTGAGTTCTATGCAAGTTTTGTTTTTTAATTCAAATTAACTCGGAGAATGATAAAATGTATTTAGCTACAGATCTTTAAAAATGACCTGTCCTTTCAAACCCACTGTAAATAATTTTATAACAACTCTGTATCTGATGAAACAAAAATATTAACATGATTGATGAAAGAGGATATTCCTAATTGACACATGTCTTCATCACCAGGACCCCTCAGCTGGAGCGGAGGATGACTTGGACAACGACGCCTTGGATGCCACGGCCGGACCATCAACAGGAGGTATTTGTGTGTGAAGAAATTTGTCTAGTAAGGTTATTGCTCTTTAGCTCAATAAAATGATGTTTGAAAAATCTGTGTGGTAATTACGTTAACAAATTGTCTCTATAGCAATATAGAATACATACTCAGTTTTTAAAAAACCCAATATATTTCTATTTGTCATTGTCGATGGGTGAGGGTGCCAGTGGCAGGGCCTTCTCTTTTCCTTTCCCCTGTTTTTTGTTCCTACTTTTAATAACCATTATTGCATTGACGAGCTTCTCGTTACTCGTACTAAGAAAAGTTTAATAACTAGTTTGACTTCTAATGTATTTTCTCAGAAAGACAGCACCCACATGAGAAGCCAACAGCGGGTGGTCTCCTGCTCCGATTTCCGTCTCTCACACTCAGGCTTAAAGTGACGCAGTGGGGCTGTAGAGATAGGCAAATAGCTTGATAGGGAGCTAGGTGGATAGCTTAGAGTCAGAGTAGAATTTTGTAGGTGTTGCCATGGCCATGGTGGGAGGTAGTTGAGGTGGCAGTGTAGGTTTGGTTGTTTTGTTTTTTTAGGGGGGTGAGAGGTAGGAGGGGTAGGATGGCAGGGGTAGAATGGTGTGGGTAGAGCTTCCTGCTGATCTTGAGTTTGGGTGTGAGGCTGTTGGAGTGGCATGTATACTGGATTGTGCCTCGAGGTTTGCTGGTACAGAACTGTATCGACATGGATTTTCATCACCAGGACCACTCGCTGATGCGGAGGACAATCTAAAAGAGGTATTTGTCGGTGAAGTAATATGTCTTGGAAGATTATTTGTTTATTAGTTCAATAAAATTAGAAAAATACCTATAAGACTGAGTTCAATGTAAGTTTTGTTTTTTAATTCACATAAAACCGGAACATGGTAAAATGTATTTTGCGACAGATTTTTATAAATGACCTTCTGTCCTTTAAACCAAATGTAAACAATTTTATAACAACTCTTTATCTGATGGAACAAAAAAATTCACATGATTAATGAAAGAGCATATTCCAAATTGACACAAGTCTTCATCACCAGGACCCCTCTGCCAGAGCGGAGGATGACTTGACGCAAAGGATACCACGGCCGGACCATCAACAGGAGGTATTTGTCTGTGAAGTGACGTCTTGAAATAATTTTATTTTTTCATTAGCTCAAAAAAAAAAAAGAAAGAAAAATACCTCTGAGACTGAGGTCAATTTAAGTTTTGTTTTTTAGTTTGGCTTAAACCGGAAAATGATCAAATGTATTTAGCGAAATGTTATTTTAAATGACCTTCTGTCCTTTTAAACGAAATGTAAACAATTTTATAACGGCTCTTTATTTTTTGATTAAACGGAAAAAAAAGCTTTATTAATGACACATGTCTTCATCACCAGGACCCCTCTGCTGGAGCAGAGGATGACCTGGACAACGACGCCTTTGATACCACGGACGGACCGGACCATCAACAGGAGGTATTTGTCAGTGAAGTAATGTCTTGGAATATTTTTGTTTTTTCATTAGCTCGAAATTATTTTTTTTTAAAGTCAAATGGGACTGAGTTCAATGTAAGTTTGCTTTTTTAATTCAGATGAAAATGGACAATGATAAAATGTTTTTAGAGACAGATTTTTGAAAATGACCTTCTGTCCTTTTAAACCAACCATAAACAATTTTACAACAGCTCTTTTTATTTGATGAAACAAAAAAAAGCTTTATTGATGAAAGAGAATATTCTTCATTGACACATTTCTTCATCACCAGGACCCCTCCGCTGAAGCGGAGGATGGCCCGGACAACGACGCCATGGATACCACGGCCGGACCATCAACAGGAGGTATTTGTCTGTGAAGTAATGTGTCTTGGAAGAGTATTTGTTTATTAGTTCAATGAAATTAGAATAATACCTGTCTATGGGACTGAGTTAAATGTAAAAGTTATATCTTTTTCATTCAGATAAAATGGGAAAATGATTAAACATATTCACTGACAGATTTTTATTAATAAACTTCTGTCTCTTTAAACCAACTATAAACAATTTTATAACAACTCTTTATTTGATGAAACAAAAAATACGCTTTATTTACCTCTGAGACTGAGTTCTATGCAAGTTTTGTTTTTTAATTCAAATTAAACCGGAGAATGATAAAATGTATTTAGCTACAGATCTTTAAAAATGACCTGTCCTTTCAAACCCACTGTAAATCATTTTATAACAACTCTGTATCTGATGAAACAAAAATATTAACATGATTGATGAAAGATGATATTCCTAATTGACACATGTCTTCATCACCAGGACCCCTCTGCTGGAGCGGAGGATGACTTGGACAACGACGCCTTGGATGCCACGGCCGGACCATCAACAGGAGGTATTTGTGTGTGAAGAAATTTGTCTAGTAAGGTTATTGCTCTTTAGCTCAATAAAATGATGTTTGAAAAATCTGTGTGGTAATTACGTTAACAAATTGTCTCTATAGCAATATAGAATACATACTCAGTTTTTAAAAAACCCAATATATTGCTATTTGTCATTGTCGATGGGTGAGGGTGCCAGTGGCAGGGCCTTCTCTTTTCCTTTCCCCTGTTTTTTGTTCCTACTTTTAATAATCATTATTGCATTGACGCGCTTCTCGTTACTCGTACTAAGAAAAGTTTAATATCTAGTTTGACTTCTAATGTATTTTCTCAGAAAGACAGCACCCACATGAGAAGCCAATAGCGGGTGGTCTCCTGCTCCGATTTCCGTCTCTCACACTCAGGCTTAAAGTGACGCAGTGGGGCTGTAGAGATAGGCAAATAGCTTGATAGGGAGCTAGGTGGATAGGTTAGAGTCAGAGTAGAATTTTGTAGGTGTTGCCATGGCCATGGCGGGAGGTAGTTGAGGTGGCAGTGTAGGTTTGGTTGTTTTGTTTTTTTAGGAGGGTAAGAGGTAGGAGGGGTAGGATGGCAGGGGTAGAATGGTGTGGGTAGAGCTTCCTGCTGATCTTGAGTTTGGGTGTGAGGCTGTTGGAGTGGCATGTATACTGGATTGTGCCTCGAGGTTTGCTGGTACAGAACTGTATCGACATGGATTGTCATCACCAGGACCACTCGCTGATGCGGAGGATAATCTAAAAGAGGTATTTGTCGGTGAAGTAATATGTCTTGAAAGATTATTTGTTTATTAGTTCAATAAAATTAGAAAAATACCTATAAGACTGAGTTCAATGTAAGTTTTGTTTTTTAATTCACATAAAACCGGATTATGGTAAAATGTATTTTGCGACAGATTTTTATAAATGACCTTCTGTCCTTTAAACCAAATGTAAACAATTTTATAACAACTCTTTATCTGATGAAACAAAAAAATTCACATGATTAATGAAAGAGCATATTCCAAATTGACACAAGTCTTCATCACCAGGACCCCTCTGCCAGAGCGGAAGATGACTTGACGCAAAGGATACCACGGCCGGACCATCAACAGGAGGTATTTGTCTGTGAAGTAACGTCTTGAAATAATTTTTTTTTTCATTAGCTCAAAAAAAAAAAGAAAGAAAAATACCTCTGAGACTGAGGTCAATTTAAGTTTTGTTTTTTAATTTGGCTTAAACCAAAAAATGATCAAATATATTTAGCGAAATGTTATTTTAAATGACCTGTCCTTTTAAACGAAATGTAAACAATTTTATAACATCTCTTTATTTTTTGATTAAACAAAAAAAAAGCTTTAATGATGAAAGAGGATATTCCTAATTGACACATTTCTTCATCACCAGGACCCCTCCGCTGTAGCAGAGGATGACCCGGACAACAAAAAGGATACCAAGACCGGACCATCGACAAGAAGTATTTGTCTGAGAAGTAATGTGTATTGGAAGATTATTTGTTTGTATTAGTTCAATAAAATTAGAATATTACCTGTCTATCGGACTGAGTTAAATGTAAAAGTTATATTTTTTTCATTCAGATAAAACCGTAAAATGATAAAATCGTAAAATGATAAAATATATTCACTAACAGATTTTTATTAATAACCTTCTTTCCTTTGAAACATACCCGCAAATAATTTTACAACGATTCTGTTTATTTGACGAAGCAAAAAAAAAAGGTTTATTGATGAAAGAATTTTCCTAATTGACACAAGTTTTCATCTCCAGGACCCCTCTGCTGGAGTGGAGGATGACCTGGGCAATGACGCCAAGGATACCACGGCCGGACCATCAACAGGAGGTATTTGTCTGTAAAGTAATGTCTTGGAATAATTTTATTTTTTCATAGTTTAAAAAAAATAATTTTTTAATACAACTTTAATGGGACTGAGTTCAATGTAAGTTATATTTTTTAATTCAAATACAACAGGAAAATTATATAATGTATTTACAGATTTTTATAAACGACCTTTTGTCCTTTTAAACCAACTGTAAACAATTTTATAACAACTCTTTATCTGATGAAACACAAAAATTAACTTGATTGATGAAAGAGAATATTTCAAAATGACACATGTCTTCATCACCAGGACCCCTCTGCTGGAGCGGAGGATGACTTGGACAACGACGCCTTAGATACCACGGCCGGACCATCAACAGGAGGTATTTGTCTGTGAAGTAATGTGTCTTGGAATAATTTTATTTTTTCATTAGCTGAAAAAAAAGAAAAATACCTCTGAGACTGGGTTCAATGTAAGTTTTGTTTTTTAATTCGGCTTATACCGGAAAATGATCAAATGTATTTAGCGAAAGATTATTTTAAATGACCTGTCCTTTTAAACGAAATGTAAACAATTTTATAACGGCTCTTTATTTTTTTATTTAACGAAAAAAAAGCTTTATTAATGACACATGTTTTCATCACCAGGACCCCTCCGCTGAAGAGGAGGATGACCCGGACAACGACGCCATGTATACCACGGCCGGACCATCGACAGGAGGTATTTGTCTGTGAAGTAATGTGTCTTGGAAGAGTATTTGTTTATTAGTTCAATAAAATTAGAAAAATACCTATAAGACTGAGTTCAATGTAAGTTTTGTTTTTTAATTCACATAAAACCGGAACATGGTAAAATGTATTTTGCGACAGATTATAATAAATGACCTTCTGTCCTTTAAACCAAATGTAAACAATTTTATAACAACTCTTTATCTGATGAAACAAAAAAATTCACATGATTAATGAAAGAGTATATTCCAAATTGACACAAGTCTTCATCACCAGGACCTCTCTGCCAGAGAGGAGGATGACTTGACGCAAAGGATACCACGGCCGGACCATCAACAGGAGGTATTTGTCTGTGAAGTGACGTCTTGAAATAATTTTATTTTTTCAATACCTCAAAAAAAAAAAAGAAAGAAAAATACCTCTGAGACTGAGGTCAATTTAAGTTTTGTTTTTTAGTTTGGCTTAAACCGGAAAATGATCAAATGTATTTAGCGAAATGTTATTTTAAATGACCTTCTGTCCTTTTAAACGAAATGGAAAAATTTTTATAACGGCTCTTTATTTTTTGATTAAACGAAAAAAAAAAGCTTTATTAATGACACATGTCTTCATCACCAGGACCCCTCTGCTGGAGCAGAGGATGACCTGGACAACGACGGCTTGGATACCACGGACGGACCGGACCATCAACAGGAGGTATTTGTCTGTGAAGTAATGTCTTGGAATATTTTTGTTTTTTCATTAGCTCGAAATTATTTTTTTAAAATTCAAATGGGACTGAGTTCAATGTAAGTTTGTTTTTTTAATTCAGATGAAAATGGAAAATGATAAAATGTTTTTAGAGACAGATTTTTAAAAATGACCTTCTGTCCTTTTAAACCAACCATAAACAATTTTACAACAGCTCTTTTTATTTGATGAAACAAAAAAAAAGCTTTATTGATGAAAGAGAATATTCTTCATTGACACATTTCTCCATCACCAGGACCCCTCCGCTGAAGCGGAGGATGGCCCGGACAACGACGCCATGGATACCACGGCCGGACCATCAACAGGAGGTATTTGTCTGTGAAGTAATGTGTCTTGGAAGAGTATTTGTTTATTAGTTCAATGAAATTAGAATAATACCTGTCTATGGGACTGAGTTAAATGTAAAAGTTATATTTTTTTCATTCAGATAAAATGGGAAAATGATTAAACATATTCACTGACAGATTTTTATTAATAAACTTCTGTCTCTTTAAACCAACTATAAACAATTTTATAACAACTCTTTATCTGATGAAACAAAAAAATACGCTTTATTTACCTCTGAGACTGAGTTCTATGCAAGTTTTGTTTTTTAATTCAAATTAAACCGGAGAATGATAAAATGTATTTAGCTACAGATCTTTAAAAATGACCTGTCCTTTTAAACCCACTGTAAATAATTTTATAACAACTCTGTATCTGATGAAACAAAAATATTAACATGATTGATGAAAGAGGATATTCCTAATTGACACATGTCTTCATCACCAGGACCCCTCTGCTGGAGCGGAGGATGACTTGGACAACGACGCCTTGGATGCCACGGCCGGACCATCAACAGGAGGTATTTGTGTGTGAAGAAATTTGTCTAGTAAGGTTATTGCTCTTTAGCTCAATAAAATGATGTTTGAAAAATCTGTGTGGTAATTACGTTAACAAATTGTCTCTATAGCAATATAGAATACATACTCAGTTTTTAAAAAACCCAATATATTGCTATTTGTCATTGTCGATGGGTGAGGGTGCCAGTGGCAGGGCCTTCTCCTTTCCTTTCCCCTGTTTTTTGTTCCTACTTTTAATAATCATTATTGCATTGACGCGCTTCTCGTTACTCGTACTAAGAAAAGTTTAATAACTAGTTTGACTTCTAATGTATTTTCTCAGAAAGACAGCACCCACATGAGAAGCCAATAGCTGGTGGTCTCCTGCTCCGATTTCCGTCTCTCACACTCAGGCTTAAAGTGACGCAGTGGGGCTGTAGAGATAGGCAAATAGCTTGATAGGGAGCTAGGTGGATAGGTTAGAGTCAGAGTAGAATTTTGTAGGTGTTGCCATGGCCATGGCGGGAGGTAGTTGAGGTGGCAGTGTAGGTTTGGTTGTTTTGTTTTTTTAGGGGGGTGGGAGGTAGGACGGGTAGGATGGCAGGGGTAGAATGGTGTGGGTAGAGCTTCCTGCTGATCTTGAGTTTGGGTGTGAGGCTGTTGGAGTGGCATGTATACTGGATTGCTCCTTGAGGTTTGCTGGTACAGAACTGTATCGACATGGATTTTCATCACCAGGACCACTCGCTGATGCGGAGGACAATCTAAAAGAGGTATTTGTCGGTGAAGTAATATGTCTTGGAAGATTATTTGTTTATTAGTTCAATAAAATTAGAAAAATACCTATAAGACTGAGTTCAATGTACGTTTTGTTTTTTAATTCACATAAAACCGGATTATGGTAAAATGTATTTTGCGACAGATTTTTTATAAATGACCTTCTGTCCTTTAAACCAAATGTAAACAATTTTATAACAACTCTTTATCTGATGAAACAAAAAAATTCACATGATTAATGAAAGAGTATATTCCAAATTGACACAAATCTTCATCACCAGGACCCCTCTGCCAGAGCGGAGGATGACTTGACGCAAAGGATACCACGGCCGGACCATCAACAGGAGGTATTTGTCTGTGAAGTGACGTCTTGAAATAATTTTATTTTTTCATTAGCTCAAAAAAAAAGAAAGAAAAATACCTCTGAGACTGAGGTCAATTTAAGTTTTGTTTTTTAGTTTGGCTTAAACCGGAAAATGATCAAATGTATTTAGCGAAATGTTATTTTAAATGACCTTCTGTCCTTTTTTACGAAATGTAAACAATTTTATAACGGCTCTTTATTTTTTGATTAAACGAAAAAAAAAGCTTTAATGATGAAAGAGGATATTCCTAATTGACACATTTCTTCATCACCAGGACCCCTCCGCTGTAGCGGAGGATGACCCGGACAACAAAAAGGATACCAAGCCGGACCATTGACAAGAGGTATTTGTCTGAGAAGTAATGTATTGGAAGATTATTTGTTTGTATTAGTTCAATGAAATTAGAATATTACCTGTCTATCGGACTGAGTTAAATGTAAAAGTTATATTTTTTTCATTCAGATAAAACCGTAAAATGATAAAATATATTTACTAACAGATTTTTATTAATAACCTTCTTTCCTTTGAAACATACCCGAAAATAATTTTACAACGATTCTGTTTATTTGACGAAGCAAAAAAAAAAAAAGGTTTATTGATGAAAGAATTTTCCTAATTTACACAAGTTTTCATCTCCAGGACCCCTCTGCTGGAGTGGAGGATGACCTGGGCAATGACGCCAAGGATACCACGGCCGGACCATCAACAGGAGGTATTTGTCTGTGAAGTAATGTCTTGGAATAATTTTATTTTTTCATAGTTTAAAAAAATAATTTTTTAATACAAATGGGACTGAGTTCAATGTAAGTTATATTTTTTAATTCAAATACAACAGGAAAATTATATAATGTATTTACAGATTTTTATAAACGACCTTTTGTCCTTTTAAACCAACTATAAACAATTTTATAACAACTCTTTATCTAATGAAACACAAAAATTAACTTGATTGATGAAAGAGGATATTCCAAAATGACACATGTCTTCATCACCAGGACCCCTCTGCTGGAGAAGCCAATAGCTGGTGGTCTCCTGCTCCGATTTCCGTCTCTCACACTCAGGCTTAAAGTGACGCAGTGGGGCTGTAGAGATAGGCAAATAGCTTGATAGGGAGCTAGGTGGATAGGTTAGAGTCAGAGTAGAATTTTGTAGGTGTTGCCATGGCCATGGCGGGAGGTAGTTGAGGTGGCAGTGTAGGTTTGGTTGTTTTGTTTTTTTAGGGGGGTGAGAGGTAGGACGGGTAGGATGGCAGGGGTAGAATGGTGTGGGTAGAGCTTCCTGCTGATCTTGAGTTTGGGTGTGAGGTTGTTGGAGTGGCATGTATACTGGATTGTTCCTTGAGATTAGCTGGCACAGAACTGTATCGACATGGTTTTTCATCACCTGGACCCCTCAGGAAAACCCCACTGCCGGACCGTCAACTGGAGGCATTTGTCTTTGAAGTAATTTTTCTCAGAACGTTATTAGTTAATTATTACTGTAACATTTTAAAAATATCTATTGAGACGTCGGAGTTTGATATAAAAGGTTTATTTTTGCATTTAGATGGAAAGGAAAAATGATGAAATGTATAAATTTTACTAACAGACGTTTTATAAATGTCCTTGTGCCCTTTTAATCAGTACTAAGGAAGTTATTTGGAAAATATGTATATGGAACTTAAATTACCAAATTGTCTCAGTAGGACCATAAGACAATACACATTCAAAAACAACCACTATATTTTGGGTGGGTTGATGGTGCCAATGTCAGTTTTTCTTTTTTTTTCTTTTTCTCTGTAGTTTTATTTTATGTGCGCTATGTGACCACTATTGCATTTATGTTGTCATTACTCAAATTTAGTAGCTCAAATTCACGTTTTTCTTCCTTAAACAGCTGCCTAGCCAACAGTTGACAAACCCCCAAGAAGCAGATACCCTGTCCTGAAAGGTAGGGCCTTCCACTCACCCTGGATGGTAGCATCACCCTTCTGCCCATGACTTCCAGCCAAATGAGAGTGCTGTGCTAGCATGATCAAATTGTGTCGACAGCATTGTAACAAACAATTTTTCAATCAGTCAGTCAAGTACTAACAGACAATTGCCAAGCTTCTAGAATCCTGCCAGCAGACAGCTACTCTTGAATCGACTCGTCAATTCCTCTAGATAATTTCCCTGGACAACTTTAACAGCGAGATACCTAGACAGTTTTACCTCTCTTATGTGAAACTATGCTGATAATGCCGAAAAAACTAGTAAAGACTCAAGAAAACAATGTTCCTTGTATGATGTCCAGCTGGAGACTTTGTAATGAAGCCTCTTAGATACGAG